TATCCTCTTTGTTGGGCTCTAAATTGGTGGAGCCTCTGTAGAGAAGAAATTGGAAATATCTAGTAACATCTTAAACATGCACACCTTAGAACAAGCAATTCTGCTTCTCATCACCCACCCTTGGAGAGAGACTCCTTGCACAAATGCACAAAGAGTGTGCACAAGAATGTTAACTGAGAGATATAGGAACAAAGTGGAAGCAATCTAAACGTCCATCAACAGAGCAAGGAATAAACTATGGTGCGGCCGTTCTAAGAAATAGCGGGCAGCAGTCAAAAAGAACGTAGTAGAGAGAAGCAAGGAGATCCAGTAGAGATCTCAGTCTATGATACCATCCCCTACTAAAAGAAACCAGAGGTCCTTGGAGAAATGGATGGTTCCAGGACTGAGGCAGGGTAGGTACAAGATGAGCCTGGAACATTTTTGTAATGCCAGAAAGTAATGAAATACCAAAAAAAAGATGGGTACGTGTCACAAAGAACCAGCAAGGGGCTTCTACTGGCCAAATCTGGCCAAATCTTTGAGTCAATAATAGATAGATAAACAAATGCATAGGGAGAAGGGAAGGCCCTAGCTTACAAGAGAAGGCCAAGCCCACTGGTATACATGGAGGGATTGTTACAGCTAGCAAATCATCATTTTGCAGCCATCTCAACAGAGATTGGTTCAGGCAAGAATCATGAAGTGTGGGACTTCCCTGGTGGCACAGTGCACTGGACTCCACGCTCCCAATACAGGGGGCCCGGGTTCGATCCCTGGTCGGGGAACTAGATCCCACATGCGTGCCACAGCTAAGAGGTCGAATGTCACAACTAAGGAGCCCATGTGCTGCAACTAAGGAGCCGGTGAGCCATAGCTGAGCAGCCTGCCTGCCACAACCAAGACCCAGCGCAACTAAATCAATAAATAATTAATTAATTTTAAAAAGTTAAAAAAAAAATCATCAAGTGATGCTAAACCTGGGGGGGAATATTGACAAGGAGAAGGCTATTTGCACGGTCTTAAGTGCCTTCCAATAGACCGCATGATAGTTGCGGGGAACTATCAGGGGAAAAAAAGGGGGGAAAAATAGTAGCTTTACAGCAGACAACTCAGACCACACCTTGCCCGGGTGATCAAAATTAGCATCACCAGCGAGGGGCAGATGAACACTGTGAGTGTGCAGATGTGGTCCCCTGAGAAGGACCCATCAACTATATAATATTCTGGCTGAAAATGCCTAACTTGAATCGAATCATCAATCTAATCATGAGAGAACATCAGAAAACCCCAAATAAGAAACAGCTCATTTCATAAAGAGCGACCGTATTCTTCAAAAGTGTCAATATCATAAAGTACAAAGAAAGACTGTAAAAATCGTTCCAAAAAAGACATGACAACTAAAGGCAATCTCTGATCCTAGACTGGATCCTAGATTGGAGGGGAAAATCCTACAAAGGACATTATTCAATTAATTGACAAAAATGGCATAAAGACGGTAGACTAGGTCAAAGTAGCACGTCAAATTTATATTTAGAGGAGTTGATAATTGCTATGCCTATTTAAAAGAATATCTTTACTTTTATGCAGTGAAGTATTTAGGGGAGCAGGGACATGAGGTACACTACTTACTTTCAAATGATTCAGAGAAGAAAATTATACTTTATCTATATAATAACATTAAATTATATATATAATGTGTGTCTATATAGTTATACTTACATAACTATATACATACATATAGTTACATACATATACATACATACACACTATATACATACATACTCTATACTTACATATGTATAACTATATACATACATATATATACACACATATATAACAAACGTGAAATCTGGAGAAAGGATATTTGAAGGTTCTTTGAACTATTCTTCTTCTTGCAACTTTTGTGTTTCAAAAGAAGTTGTTGCTTCAGCATAAAAAGTTGAAGAAAAGAATGATGTAGGTATACGTACTAACATAGAAAGAGCTTCAAATATACTGTTGAATGAAAAAAGAAAATCTGCAAGATAATTCACTTAGTGTGATGGTTCCCATATTATATCCATTTGTACATAAGGTCTGGAGGAATACCTACCAAACTGATCACGTGGCTTACCTTTGGGGAAGAGACTAGGAGACCAGGGTAGCTGTTATAGAATAGCTCACCTGCGATATTTTTATTTTTTAGAAGAGTTTATTTATGAATTGCTCATGCAATTAGAAATAACTTTTTTTTGTAAAGACTAAAGTTGCCTTGCTGTCAGTTCCCACTGCTGACAAGGATCACAGCTCAGGTGTTCTGGGACAGTACTCATTTAAATATTTGAGCCCACTCTCACATATGACAGTCTCAGAAACTTTCCAGCTTTGGGGTTTAGGAAATCTGGTCAGGAAATGGCAGCAGCATGGAGTGTTTGGAAAGACCCTGGGCTTCAGACTCAAACCTGCCTCCATCTTTCCCATCTTTCACCGACGGTGAAATCTTAGGCAAGAGACAGTCCTCCAGGAACCTCAGTTCCCTTACCTGTACAAAGGGAAGAGAATGCTTCTAGAGCAGAGTGGCTGAGCTTTAGGTATGATGTACATAATTTACGTGTCCTTAGCAGATGCACACAGAATGCCAAGCCCATCCTGGGGCTGGCACAGAGCATCTGTTTATTGTTATTCATTCTACCGTTTTTAGTGATTTGTTTGCTCTTCACTCTTCCTCTGTGAGCCCAGTGGCTCTTTAAGGAAGGGTCCATCCCTTATTCGTTCTCTGCTCCCAAATGTGCCCTCACAGAACACTCTGTAATTGGCACCTGACAAACACTGGTGGCAGGGTAAAAGAACCTTGGCACAGCAAATCTGGAGCAACATGGAAGTAGGCTGTGAGGCCTCAGGTTTACTTTACAATGATCAAATATAAGGAAACACGGCCTCTGAAGTCACCATGTAGAAATCTGTAAGTGCCAAGAAGATGAAGACGTGACCAATGACCCCACCCACGTGTTCCAGAGCAACAGAGGTGAAAGAGCAGTGTCAGCATTCCTCAAAGCCAGAGGTGTTATTTAGTAACAGGTATTATTTTTAAATGTTCTGTGGTCAAAAATGTTTAGAAATGCCAAATTAGACAAAACTAAACAGGCTTATTCACTGCAGGACTTATCAGCTCCTTTAATATACTAATGTGCATCATGAATATCCAACCGTGTAATTTGCATCATATTCCAGGCTTATTTGAGACTCCCTTTTTTTTTTTTTTTTTTTTTTTTTTTTTAAGGATCTCAAGGTCTATATCCCATAAAACATGCTTTGGAAAATGCTGCTTAGAGCTGTTTCTCCACTGTCAGTGCCTGGTAAGAACAGTACTTAGTGGAAATTTAACAATGTAACTTGCCTACCTGACCCAAGAGGGCAAGGGAATTAACTAAGCCATGAGTTAACCAAGCCATTTTTAAAGGTCACTGTCAATTCCCCTCATATTCCTCCTGTTCCTTTGCCCTGCTGGTCCAGGGAACATGTGCAAAGAACCCTGACCAAGAAAAAAAAAAAAAAAATCATGGTTATGACTCCCAAACTGAAAAGATAGACCGCAATATCATCATTCCAGTCCTTTCAGCTTCACTTAATCCTGTTCATTCCGGCCTAACCAAGAGTGGATAAGACAAATGGCTGAAATAGCAAGGATCTTGCACTACGGCCAAGTCATGGACCACAGGTAGAAATGCTTGTCCCTACACCAGCCGACTGGAATATTTAAGCAAATGTTCCATAGGATCAGGCTAAGAAGACCAAATGTCATACTCATGCTCACTATGACCTCAAAAAATAGGCCGTGTGACAGTCCAAATTGTCACCTTTTTATTCATTATCTCTGAGTAAGAGAAATCTGTTATGCTAGCCCATCCAGCATCTATGCCCCCCTTTTTGGGTAACAACACACTTTTTGGGGGGGAGTTGTTCTTCTTTTCTCCCTACCCGCTCCCCATTGCATAGTCTTGGGGGGCCAGTTAATTCAGGCTCCCTGTGCTCCCCTGCCCAAGGAGTGGGTACTGGACCCATGATAGGGTCGATCAGATCCAGTTCACCCAGAAATTTCGAAGCTAGAGTAAAGCAATACAAGGCCAACAAAGGTTAGACTCTGATGGTTGGTAAAGCCCCAGAGACAGCATTTAAGTCCTGCTACCCAGGTCCCCAGAATTGTCCTGGGTCCCCTGCTTTGCAGGACTCAGGCACTCAGCTTTTCTTTTGATCCTCAGTGTGCCCGATGTCCTGCCGATAAATTCCCAGAGAGTTTCCGTTGCTTGCAGCTGAAGAACCTGGCCCAATACACTGAGCAAAACAACCTCAGCGAATTCCTACTTACCTTTCCTTTAACTGGACTTCAAATCTGAAAGTGACCTGAAAGCTTCCCTGACAGCCTAAACCTCCGAGTTTTGCACAAAAAGGTTACTGAGGCCACACAGACAGTGTCCTTCAGTTCACTAGTGATGGTCAGGTTTCCCACCTGCCTGTGTGTCCTGAGCAGATTTCCAAACAACTTCCATTTTCCACTTAGATACAACCTAAACTGCCCTGGGTAAAAGGTCTGAATTATGACTGTTCTTCCTCCCCTCCTGTGCCAAAACTGGTCCTCCACCACCACTTATCAAATGCTGCATGAGAGTGCGGGCATCCTTTAAATACTCCAGGGAGCCTTTGCATACCCCCCAAATGTTCACAGCCTGCCACTCAGCACAGCCTTTCGGCTCCATGTTCTGAAGGCTCCTGCATTCGGTAAGGAGCTCCAAGTTCTTGGGTTCTGGTTAGCGGCTCACCAGGGATCGCCACACCAAGCACGTTCTATTCTGAGTGTGGCCCCAGTATGTTTCATTTCATCAGCAAAGTACGAGTTTATTCTGGAGAGAGATGTTTTGGACACATTCATAGTAGCCAACGAGCAGTACTTCCTTATATGCAGAACACAAAATCATCACATAAAAATCTGACCCAACTGCCAGTGTGGGGTTTAAAATAAACAAACTCACCCCGAAAATTACCTCTCTGGGCTGGCCAATTTTGCACCTCAGAATCACAGGCTGCAACAGTGGTACGGAGTCTGTAAAAATCAGACTGCGGTGATCTTTGCTTCTTCGCCGGAGCGACTGGGGACCAAAGCTTCCATTTTTCTCTGTTGAGCCGCAGGTCTTCACTGGTGGCTGGGCATACACTTCAAATCTGCACCCTTTGAAAAAGCAATGACAGAGGAGAGTTGGCCCAAGTTCTTCCCTGCAGTGCTGCGCAGGACTTTCCCAGCAAGGGCAGGAAGGGAACCCAGACTTGCCTACGTTCTCCAAGGGAGTCGAGAAGCATGCTGCCCTGCCCATACCCAGCTGGTCAGCCCTGTGCCTTCTCTCTCACTTTCCCTCTGCTCTGCACATTCTTTGTTTCCTTCCTCATTTCAGGAAGCATTCTCCAAACCCCACCTACCTCTCCACCTCCCAACCTGAGTGAGGTGCCTGCAGGCCAGCCCACCCCACTGTGCTCCCCTCTGTAATAGAACTCCATCACGCGGCTCTTTCAGTGTCCATTCATGGTCCTGCTCCCCCACTGGATGACTGTGAGTTCCTCGAGAGCAAGGGGCGTATCTGTGTCCATGTCCCCAGTCCCCAGCAGGTGCTCAATGAACAGAACAGAGCTAAAGACACAGAAGCACCACAGACTCAATGATGATCACAGCTCCTGGCCCCAGGAGGAAGCAGCTCTGTCGATGGGTCACGCAGCTCTGCCTGAGCCAGACCCACCATGCCCAGGGAAGAGATGGCCTGGCCTCGCCATCCGTAGCTCTCCACACGGCCAGCATCCCCAAAGTATTAGGATGAGTGGGACCTCCAAGAGGCTGCGAGAGTAGCATCTGAGATGAAGGCATCCAGAACTAGGCAGCTAGCTGGGTTCAAATTCTGCCTCCACTACCCAATAGCTGTATGAACATGGGCAAGTTAGCCACTAGATGCCTTGATTTCCTTGTCTGAAAAGCGGGATAATTATAATACACCATCACAGGATTATTCCAAAGATAGGTGAATTAATCTCGCTAAAACACTTTGTGCCTTAACTATGTATTAGTTTTTTTGTTTGTTTGTTTGTTTTTGCAGCACGCGGGCCTCTCACTGTTGTGGCCTCTCCCGCTGCGGAGCACAGGCTCCGGACGCGCAGGCTCAGCGGCTCATGGGCCCAGCCGCTCCGCGGCATGTGGGATCTTCCCGGACTGGGGCACGAACCCGCGTCCCCTGCATCGGCAGGCGGACTTTCAACCACTGCGCCACCAGGGAAGCCCATATTAGTTATTCTTATTAGGGTATAATTTACGTATGATTGTATAAGTTTAAGGTCTACGATGTGTTGATTTCATACATTTATATATTGCAGTATGATTATCACCATAGCTTTAGCTAACACCTCTATCACATGACATAATTAACGTTCCTCTTTTGTGGTGAGAACATTTAAAATCCAGTCTGTTAGCAATTTTGAAGTACTGTATATAAAACAGTATTGCTAACTATAGTCACTATACCGAAAATGGTTTAGGCGGTACCAGACATAGCCTTAAAAAACATTCAATCAAGGGATTAATCCGTTCTCGATTCTCTTTCAAACTTTCTGATTATTTCAAGGAAAAAGTAGCAGTTTAACACATCTCTAAAACTTGCTGTTCTCGCTTTCAACAAAGAGAAAGAAGCCCTCAAGCTCAAGTCTCTGGCAGATCTAACGGAAATGCATAAAGTGATTTTGCTTTTTTTGGTGTTATTTTTATGGTCTCACGGCAGTTGACACTGGCAGTGCGAATAAAGCAGATATAGTGGTATAAATTCTCCATTTAAAATAAATCTATTGCTATTAAATAGTGAGTGGAAAAAAAAATAGTGAGCAGGTTCAAAGGAAAATATGAAGGAACAATGTGAGTGCAATCGACCCTCAGCATCCACGGGTTCCGCGTCTGCAGATGAACCAGCCAGGGATGGATGGGTGAATACACAAATGCAGAGCCCACGGATACAGAGGGCTGACTGTACTACATCATTTTATAAAGGGACTTGAGCATCCTTGGATTTTGGTATCCATGGGGGTCCTGGAACCAATCCCCCACAGATATGAGGGGCAACTGCAGTTGCAAACATACTACGGCAAAAATCATGAAAGTGAGATCCAAATGCCTCAGGTGTGGAAAATACAGATATACACTAAGGGATGCCTGGAAGTAGAGGTCCCCCTAGTGTGCGCTGTGCCCAGAGAACACTCAGGAAGCTGACCAGTGGCAAAGCCCTGCCTCCAGAGGAAGCCAGGACTTCAAAGTGCCCCCGAGATAGAGCACAGTACAAGATGGCAGACACGGCTGAACTTAGAGGTGAGTCTCCTGTTCATGGGCCTGGGCGGAGGTCAGCAGTGGGTGGAACGGTTCAAGAGGCTCTGTGAAAGAGGGTGGACCAGACAGGCGGCATCGGCATGCTACATACACCAGGAGTCTCACGAGAGAAAAGCAGACTTCACTTATGACCAAGTGAGGGTCAGGCAAATGCCTGATGCACTTCCTTGGAATCTGGTGTCTCCTGCATTCCCTGCCATCCATGCAACTGAGGGCAATAGCTGGAAGGAAGCAGTTTCAGGTAGTAAAGACACCCACCGGGCCTTTCCAAGCGGCGTTGCAAAACAACTCGATGGCATCTCTGGGCAAATGGGATATTCAACTCAATCTATGATCTCATGATTTTCTTTACGTTTTTGGCTCATCCATTTGTGATGTTCATTGGAGGGGCACATAGGAGAAGAGGTCTAGCTTGCTTTTCAAACCAGTTGTGTTCCTTCTCCCTGTGACTCGTAGGCCAGGCTCACCCACAGACAGAGACTGCCTTCTCACTGTCCTCTGGCCAGCTGGCCACCAAAACCATGCCCTGGACATGCATGGGGAGGGCATGCAGGGGACTCCCTATGCCTCCTCCCTTAACCAGCACAAATGACAAGACACAGGCCAGCTCTCCAGGAGCTCTTGGGCGAGAGAGTTATAAGAATAACTCACTCTAAAACCTAACAGCTACCACTTCTGAGGGACCTGCCCTGTGCCAGGCACATTATTGCATCCTCACGAGAAACTCCCCATCGCGCACATGAGGGAACTCAGAGAGGGGAAGTGGTGAGCAGCCAGGGTGTGACACAGCCTGTTTTGTGGACCCAGGTCTCTGTGCCTCAAAGGCCACAGTCTTGCCATCCCACTGCCCCCCTCCCCAGCCTCACAAGAAAATGGGTGTCGTGATGGTGCCATCCAGAGTGTTGGGAGATCACGGATTTAATTCTGCTTAGGGCAACGAGAGAAGCCCCCCAGAGAAGGTGATATTTGAGCTGAGATCTTAAGGACTTGGTTGGCAAAGCAAAATAATCTAGACTATGTTCATTCATAGATTCATTCATTCCATGCTGTATTTCCATGGTAGGTACTAGGTACTAGGAATTTGGTGGTGAAAATACAGAGCTCCTATCTTCCTAGCGGAGGAGACAAAAAAAAAAAGAATGAATAAAGTTACCTCTAATTGTGCTGTGAAGAGATGAATAAGGAACTGAAATGGCGAATACTGGGGAAATCTATTTTAAGACAGTCAGGGGATGTCTTTCTGAGGAGGTGACATTTTTGCTGAGCAAGAATGATGAGGTGATGGTGCTATTCATATAAAGTGAGAGTGAGTGTTCCAGGCAGAAAGAATGGTATGTGCAAAGGCCCTGAGGCTAGAAAGGGAATTGTATGTTCATGGAACTGAAGGATAAGAATGTTTGGAAACAAGTGAGTCCAAGGAAAAGCATTGCTCAAAAGGAAGCTGGGGAGAGAGGCCAGAGCCAGATGGTGTAGGTTCTATTCTAAGTGCAGTGGGAGGTTCCTGATGGATTTTCGGCTTGGAAGTTATATAATCCAATTTACCCTCTAAGATCAGGGCTCAGTCCCCTCATGGGTAAAATGGGAGTAAATAAGAGAATGCACAGAGAAATGCAAATCAAAACTACAGTGAGGTACCACCTCACACCGGTCAGAATGGCCATTATTAAAAACTCTACAGGGCCTCCCTGGTGGCACAGTGGTTAAGAATACGCCTGCCAATGCAGGGGACACAGGTTCGAGCCCTGGTCCGGGAAGATCCCACATGCCACGGAGCAGCCAAACCCGTGCACCACAACTACTAAGCCTGTGCTCCAGAGCCCGTGAGCCACAACTACTGAGCCCACGTGCCACAACTACTGAGCCCGCGTGCCACAACTACTGAAGCCCACATGCCTAGAGCCCGTGCTCTGCAACAAGAGAAGCCCCCGCTCGCCGCAACTAGGGAGAAGCCCGCGTGCAGCAACGAAGACCCAACGCAGCCAAAAATAAATAAATAAATTTATAAAAAATAAAAACTCTACAAATAACAAATGCTGGAGACAGTGTGGAAAAAAGGGAACCCTCCTACACTGTTGGTGGGAATGTAAATTGGTGCAGCCACTATGGAAAACAGTATGGAGGTTCCTCAAAAGACTATGATCCAGCAATCCCACTCCTGGGCATATATCTGGAGAAAACTGTAGTCAAAAAGATACATGCATCCTTATGTTCATAGCAGCACTATTCACCTGAATGAATAGTGACATGGAAACAACCTAAATGTCCATAGACAGATAAATGGATAAAGAAGATGTACTATATACATATACAGCGGAATATTACGCAGCCATGAAAAAGAATGAAATAATGCCATTTGCAGCAACATGGATGGACCTAGAGATTATCATGCCAAGTGAAATAAGTCAGAAAGAGAAAGACAAATGACATATGATATCACTTATAGGTGGAATCTAAAATATGACACAAATGAACATATCTGTGGAACAGACTCACAGACATAGACTTGTGGTTGCCAAGGGGGAAGGGGGTGGTGGAGAGATGGACTGGGAGTTTGGGGTTAGCAGATGCAAGCTATTATATACAGAATAGATAAGCTATTGTATACAGAATCCTACTGTATAGCACAGGGAACTATATACAATATCCTGTGATAAACCATAATAGAAAAGAATATGAAAAAATATGTATGCATATGTATAACTGAATCACTTTGCTATATAGTAGAAATTAATACAACATTGTAATTCAACTATACTTGAATAAAACAAAATTTTAAAAAAATAAGAGAACGCATTTTTTAAAAAGTACCCTGCTTGGTC